GCTCGAAACTATGACACAAGTCTCCAAAAACGTGTCCTCAGTTGAAGGTATCAGGGTCATACCGGGTCTCTTCTGGATGCAGCTTCAGGAAGGCAACATCAAAATCCTGCTGGATGCAGGAAGGGTCCAACATGAACCAAGTAGTTACTCCTGTAAGGGGCAGTAGCCCAACTGGCAGCGCGAGCTGCCCTCGGCTTGCCAAGGCAGGGAAAGAGCAGAAGAATGGATCATTCAATTCATTAAACATGCTGGCATGATGTCGAAGGACACAAGTTTGAGGTTCTTGAATGTGTGCCGGACACAAAGTTTTGGAGGCTTCCAGCGCCGGGCGGGCATGATCTCTAAAGTCGACAAACCCAAACAGGGGCATTGAAGCAGAGGGTCAACCCCGGTCTCTCTGTTGCGTTGGATGAATTTCGGAGCCCTCCCGAGGTCCAAAGTATCGTGCAGAAGCACCTATCGGAGATCGCCAAGGTCCCGCAGCTCGCTAAGTTGCATTGTCATCTAACCTCTTCACGTATTGATAGTTTAGCACGTACACGCATGCACACATGCATTCGGGAGCCCAAGGCTCCAATCGCACTTTCAGCCGCTGTGCAATATAGCAGCACGATAGCAGAGGTCTTCCTGTCAAGTTCATCCTGCAGATAGACAAAGACCGGTCCGACCTTTTACGAAGCACTGCCCGCTTAAATGATACGAGCTCTCCACAGAAAACAGATGATGCAATTCATAAACGTGGGTCTTAGGCAGCAAAGTGAGCACAAGTGACAATTCGATAGCTGACACTGATGTCACTATGGCTACGACGCCGGCGTCGTCGAAACGGTAGTCTTCGTCCCTGTCGCTGTCGGCTGTCGAGTCGTACTCGTTGTGGTTGCGTAGTCGTAAATAGATGCAGCCACTGCCTTACTGTTGATCTGCAGCAGCAGCAGCCGAAGAACAATGTAGTAGAAGTCGTAGTAGTCGTACAGTAGTGGCTGTCGTGGCAATGGCGGTACTGGTGCGAGTGGTGGAAGAGGAGGCGGAGGCGTGAGATTTTCCCGGCAGGTGGATATGCAGCCTGACGGGGCAGCGTTTGGCAGCAGCCAAAGCTTGTGTTCCAATTAGTCTTGGAATTCTTTTGATGGGTCTTTCGGCGTTGGCACTCGCATTTGTTTACAGTTCTTGTTTTTGCGCATCGGGTCACGTGCCGGATAGCTCCGAAGGACTTCGCGATTGAAAGAGGATACCACGATTACAGGACTGACTAGACAAAAATATGCCTGCTCACATTGCTTTGAAACCTCGAGCACCATCCGAAGCTGGAAGTCTGCACACGAGATACATTGTTGTTTTGCATCCCGCATCCTCGAACCCGAATCCGCAAGCCGTCTACCAGGGCTCAACCGTGAACCCCGACATGAGCAATCAGACACCTGCATCAGTCTTCGGTCAGTTTTCTCCGCCTTACACCTTTGGTTTTCGATCAATTCTTGGGCTGCTATGGTTGCTTGTCGTGACTCGCATTGCAATGTTCACCCCTCTGAGCATCCATCAGCATTCGCCCGCAACCTGTCCTGGCCCTCGAGCCTTAACGAAGGTGGGGCTCCATCTGCGAACCATCTGGCCATTCAGACACTCGGCTTGCTTTGGTCGGTGTGGAAGGTTTGGGTTTCAGGCGTCGGTTGGGGCTGTAGGGTTGAGGCTGTCGCGGTGTCTGGTGGATTTTAGGGCACGGCGGCAGGGAAGATGTGTGCTCTGAAGGATGGTGCAGAACCATGGCTGAGTAAGTTGTGGGACATAGCGAGACATAGGACGGTGACAGCGATCTTCAGCCAGAGCCTTTCAGCAAACCCAGCTAAGGCAGCAAGGTCGAAGACTCCTTCTCAAGTGCATGGGACCAGCAGTTAACAGTCATTGTGACAAGCATCATATGCATTTTAACATGAAGCGAAGGAGATGATTGTTGGAAACTCTTTGTCTTGCCAGCGTTCTGGATGATGCGGAATGCGGACGACGCTCTGCATGCATGTCACAGACCATCTGTTGCCGCATGCGAGGAAGAACATCGTCCACTGGGCAGCGCAGCTTGCATCAGGCTAGCGGGAGCTGCAGAAGCTCCGGGGCTTAGCGTCTCATTCTTCGGCAGCTTCGGGTTCCAAGGCAGGGGCCAGGCCCCCCCATCCCTAAACCCAGAAGGAGCTTGGAAGCCTGGAGTTTGGGGCTGTAAGGCAAAGCCCGAGATCCCGAACCTGGACCTGTGCCTTAGAGATCCACTAAGTGTGACTCTAGTGCTCAAGGCCTAACGTCTGAACCCAAACCCCCAAACTATAAACTCTAAAGGCTCCGAGCTCGAATTTCCTTGCAGTAGCCCTCCAGCGGAAAGGCGCGCAGCAGGCCGCCGAGGATGCCGAAGAGAGCGAGGAGTCAACAAACTGGCTTAAGTGTTTCTGGTAGTAGAGTAGGGCTTTCCGTGCAGTTTCTTGCTTTTGGGGTTGTAGGAATCAGCGCTTAAACTGGGGTTCAGGATAGCGATCACGCGTCATGTGTAAGCGGCTGCATGTGCAGCACGGAACTTACATAATGTAGTGTTCCTCGCGGCTCCTTTCAGACGTTCGCATCAAGGCACAAGCCCAAGGGTTCACTTCTGTCTCTTCTCGGATTCTTGTTGCTGTCGGTGTTAAGGGGTGTTGTTTTTTCTGGTGCTCCTTCTTCGGGTCTTGAAATCTCCAACATGACTGCTGTGGACACGACCATGGTAGCTTTGGTTAGGTTAGTGCAAGACTGTTCGTCGCACGTCCTCGTCGTCCTCTCCGTGGTCGTCGAAGGGCACGTCGTCACAGCAGCAGCAGCAGCAGCAGCAGCAGCAGCAGCAGCAGCAGCAGCAGCAGCAGCAGCAGCAGCAGCAGGACTGACAGTCGCAATCAATAGTCACTGTGTTGGCGACGGTATGTCGTAAGTGGCATGTCGTATGTGCCAGCCCCATTTGAAAAAATGTCGATGTCCCAAGCCCAAGCGAAGCCGCGACCGGAGGAAGAGCAAGCAGGGAGCTCTCGTCCAGGCTGAGCTCTAGGACTCTAGGTTTCGTTTGAGGAGATTGTTCAGACCTGCCCCAAACGGCCCCGGTCTTTTGCCCAAGACTGCCAACTCTAAGTCACCGAGATGATTTCGTTTGAGTTTACTGTTTAAAGACTGAGGTTTTTGGCTAACTAGGTGTGTGAGGACTTCTGGACCCATTGCTACCCAAGAAAAAGGCTTCGCGGATGATTTGCCTTCAAACCTAGCGGTTTTGCATGTGAAGAATCCTGAACACGGCGTCTTGAGCACTGTAATAACCGCACCTTGACGCGAACGGCATCAAGATGTCTTGGGTAAGGCCTTGTCACGAAAGTGTCTTACAATCCGTCACATAGCACAACCGATTGCAGAGACGCTTTTGGCATTCAGAGATGTTGGGGCTCTCCGGATTGCCTTTTCGGTCGAATTGTGGCTGTAGTAGCTGCTGAAGCCACAAGGTTCCTGAGTGCTTGGATGCGAGTTTTCGACCTTGGAGTGGTTGCAACTACACGATTTCTCGACTTCTTACACGCAACATCCACAAGCCACTTTGAGAAGGCACCTTCAGACAGCAATGCGCCAGGACCCTGACCATTGCCCGCAATTCCATCTGTAGGTGAAGAAGGAGCTCAGACACATACTCAGACTAAAGTCGCTCAAGGAGAATTTGGGAACCGCTTGAAGCATCAAGATGCTTTTTTTCATTTGCAAGAGACAGAAGGCCTTCTTCAGCGGGCCGCATCAAAGCACCTGAAGGCCCGAGGGCAAGCAGGGAACATCCGCTGGTTGTTTGTAGGTTCCGTAGAATCTCCAGGGAGGTCTGTGTCGGATCCACGGGGAGGGGGAGTGCTGCCACGAACTCGACACAACAGCCATCGAAGCCCCTGACTGGCCATGGAGGATGATCGAGTCCTCTTTGAGGACGTGGAGGGAGAGTTGGCCGCAATCTGAGAGGTTAGACAACTAGTGAAGAAAGCCTGTGGGAGAGTAGATTGAAGAAGAACCGCGCACCATGTGGGCTCCAAGAGCCACGCAGCAATTTTTAGTCCTGTCTTGGAGTTTTGTAAGAAGAGCCAGAGTAGTGACAAGGACTTTCTCATGTTGTTGTTGTTGTTGTTGATGATGATGCTGACGACGAGGATTGCAGCTGCCACTGTTGCTTCCTCACGACTCCTCTCTTTCGGCGAGCGGGCACGTGAACCACGCAAGATGCATGCCGCTCCCACTAAGACCGCCTGCCGAGGTCGTAAAGCTCACGGCACATCCAAAGGAGTTCCGCGGAGTCCTAGGCTGGGCTTCTAGTTAAGCTAGGGGTTAGAATTGAGTGTTACGGGTCGTGGGTGGCAAATTCGCCAGATGGCCTCTGTCGGCAGGCGAGCACTTCCGGAAGGTTGTCGATCTGACGGAAAGGCCGGGTCCCAAACTTACGGGAGCACGGCAGCCGGCACCTGGCACCCAGTCGTGTTTTTGAAGTGTCCTTTCAGAGACCGAAACGGTTGGCTTGTTGGGTCGGCTTGTTGAGGGTAGCAGACACCAGTTGCGCAGTGCAACTTGCCCAGCCGGAGCAGTGACTTTCCGATTGACACGACCAGAAGAAACCCGCGGAAAGCCGCTCGAAGCGCCTAAGCCCCCGAGGTTCACCCGGATTGACGGCTCCCTGGAGCAAGACGAGGCGAGCCGGGCTCCGATCTGCTCTGAGGAGTGAGGTTTTAGGCTTTAACGCAACCTTTTCGATGCACTCTGCAGACGCTTCTGCATCGAGATGGCAGGTGCAGCAAAAGTTCATTGCCAGCCTCAGTGCCGCCCTCGGAAGATTTGAAGATATTGGATCCCTTTCGCGGCACTATGAATGCAAGCCGAAGATAAAATCTCAAGCACCTTTACAGATGCCCTTCTTGTCTTTCCTGTATTCATGCGGTGGTGGTGTTTGAAAAGCTGTAGTAGTCCGTCTTGACAATGCCATGTCTTTGTGCACTGCACCGTCATCTCCAGCTCAAGTCTCAGCCAGGGCGCTGCCCTCCGATCCCGGCATCCTGGGAGGGTCCCGGAAGGGTGGGGGGATCTTCATGATGGCCGGCGCGCTCCCGAGCACCGGAAGCACCGCGAGCACCGCGAGCACCGGGAGTTGCGACGCAGTGCAAGGCCAAGGCCAGGGAGCTCAGGGAGCTCGGGGCGAGCTGCTGCTGTCTGACATCTCCATCCGCTTCGAGGACGGCACGGTGCTTCGTGTGGATGCGCTGGCCTCTGCGACGCTGATGACGGCGTCCCCGGTCTTCCACAAGATGTTGACACATGACATGAAGGAGAAGGAGCGCAGCGAGATCGAGTTGCCAGGCAAAGACCCTAAGCAATTCGAGACTCTCTTGAAGTTTCTGATGCCATCGGCCGGCCGAAAGCAGAAGCTCTCCGATGAGAATGTGGGATTCTTGCGGAAGCTGTGTGAAGAGTACATGATCGAGACACTGAGGGAGGACTGCTTCATGAATGCCTAAAAGCGAGTACTAGCATGGCTTCCGGGCCCCAGCCAGGGATTCAACCTTTTCGCCCCCCTAGATCTTAAGCTGAGAGGAGTGTGTGGACTTCATTCGTACAGCGGAGCCCTCCACGAAGGTCTTGGTGGCTGCTCATGCATTGTGTCTCGGCTCGGGAAAAGTAGAAGTTCCCTCAAGAAAGGGTGCGTTTCTGTAGGCGCCGCACTCCTTCCTCTTTCCGTATCAGATGCTAAGCATAAGCTTGGCGCTGCTTTTTGCTGTTGTTGCTTGCTGTTGTGGTTGGTTTCTTAAGTTACTTGAAGCATGAATGAAGATATGTTGAGGGCGCTCGAACGCATGAAGCCGTTGCCAAAACATGGTTCAATCGGTCCAGGAATCTGGACGACAATGTGCGTCGGGGTATCGATGAGCTCCTCGGCCGTGGCATTCGAGACTGGGGCGAGTGCTATGGGGACAGCGCTTTGATGCAGAAAATCATCGAACGAACGATGACCTTCCTGCACGGCAAGGAGTCCCAGCTACGCCTGAAGGAGTCAGAGGTGCAAGCGGGGATGGACCAACTTCGCCTTATGAAGAAGAAGCTCGATGGCAGCCAGTCAAGGCTACAGCAGGCTGAGAATCAGCTCAGGGAGAGGGATGCTCACTTGATGAGAACCTATCGCTGACAGAGATTACGGCAGGTGCCCTTAGTCCTTTGCCGTGGGTCGCTTTTCTGATTTCCTTCAGTCGGGCCAGTCGGGCGCGGAAGATGGCTCCCAGTAGGGTCGGATGCTTCGACGTCGCGCGGAAGCTTCGAAACGTGATTTTGTGAATCGCAGGCAGTGCTCGCTTTAATCCATGGAGATTCTTGGTAGTACGCATGATTAGCCTAAGGTCTTGTCTGATGCCCATCCGGTTTCAATTTTCATGCGTGTCGACACATGTACGGGAGAGATAGTAAGCTCCAGGACATGATCTAACACACCAGGGCAAGCCATAGAAGCCTCGAAGCATCCTGTGCGTAGGGGCCGGATGCTGCTATGTGGCTTTGTGCTTCAAGCACCCTACTCTGTTCCTGTGTTGTTGTGTAGGGTCGGAGGCTTTGTCTTGGATTTCTTTGTCGTGGGCGGGGTAAGGTTGTGGTCTGAACAGTCTCCGCTGGCCTGTGCTGGTAGCAGGAGATAGATGACCCATAAGAGCATACCGGAGAAAGTCATGGAGAGGTGCCATCGCGACAGGGGCCGTTAAGCCAGAGACATAGCCCATCGAATCATTGAGTAGTTCGCAGTCGCAATGATCTGATGTCTGGGCGTGGACAACACGTGTTCAAATAACGTAACGTATAACAAGGCCTCAAGCTTCGCTCTTGCTCGTACTCGAAAGCCCGGACGGCCTAGGCGAAGTGAAGCCGTGGCTTGTGGAGGCTCCGGGCTGGTTGAGCCTCAAAACCTTGGGTGATTTATTGGGCGAAAAAAGCGGCCTTGTCTGCTTTAAGGTTATCTAAGTGCTTCTCTCTTTGACTGATACGTAGTTGAATTGAGTTACATCGTGCGCTGCGCTTGTAGCTTTAACCTTCCAGTTCGACACTCAGGAACCTGTAGATCTTTCAAGCCTTTGCTAGGTGCATCTGAGGCCCTGTCAATGTCATATGACTACTGGTCAGCATAGAACTGAAATGCCAAGTGCACACTCAAAGCGGTTGCTGGCCCAGAGCACAAGGAGCTCCAAGAGAAGTTCGACGAGAGTCTACGAGGCCATCGGGAGACGAATATGACTTCCCGCAGCAGGCATGGTGATCATCACCATCGCAATCGTTAGCAACATCGCCATCACCATCACGGTCGTGGCCATGATCAAGATCATGCCCACCATCATCATCCCCATCATCCAGGCCACCACCATCACAGGTGTCACCATGGTCATGACCATTGCTATGCTGCCCACCAGCATCATCACCACCATCACCATCACCAGCACCATCACCGTGACCGTCAGAGTCATCGTGATCCTCATAACTTATATTATCGTCGTCATCATCATCAACATCATTATCAGCATCATCATCATCAGCAGCATCATCAGCATCATCAGCAGCATCATCAGCATCATCGTCATCGTCATCGTCACGGTCATCCTCATACTCATCCTCATCCTCATCATCCTCGTCCTCCTCCTCCTCATCACCATCATCACTATCATCATCTTCATCATCATCATCGTCATCAGCATCATCATCATCAGCATCAGCATGATCATCATCATCATCATCCTCATCCTCATCCTCATCTTCGTCGTCGTCGTCGTCTTCGTCGTCACCGTCGTCGTCGTCATCATCGTCGTCATCATCATCATCATCATCATCATCATCATGAACATCATCATCGTCATAATCATCGCCGCCAGCGCCACCATCACCATCAACATCACAACAGAGATCGTTACTATAATAATGTCCATGGCTAGCACGATGATGTTGACAACGAGGCATCATCATAGCGAACATAAGACTTACAGCACTGCGTGAGATTTCTCGCTGCCGCTGAAAGGATCTGTTTTGTCTTCTGCGCAGTGTTTTCGGTATAGGGTCCACAGGAAGGCTCAATCGCGAATCTGAAGTCCAAGGCTGCTTCTTCAACGCGGAGGAAGTCGTGCATGAGGCTCGTTGGATCTGCATGTCTTGCTGTGTCTCACTTTTACTAGTGTTGTCATGCTCATGATACCATCGCACTAGTACTTCAGGAACAACTGCGGAGACGGCGACCACTGCTGGTGTTGCTGATGCTTCCTAAGGCTACTTCTGCTTCTAGTTTTGTCACTTGACGTGGAGTACTTATACTAAGTCACAAAGCACCACAACTATTACCAGAAGAACTGCCGCAACGCCTGCGACTGACTGCTTCTGTCACTGCTGCGGCTTCTGCTGCTGCTACTTCCCTCTCCTGGTCCTCCTCCTCCTCTGCCTCCTCCCGCGCCTCCTCCTCCTCCTGCTCCTCCTGCTCCTCCGCTGTTGCTGCTGTTGCTGCTGCTGCTGCTGCTGCTGCTCCTCGTCGTCGTCGTCCTCCTCCTCCTCCTCCTCCTCCGCCTCTTCCTATTCCTACTCCTACTCCGACTCCTCCTGCTCTCCTCCTGCTCCTGCTACTGCAACTGCTACTGTGTTACTACTACTGCTACTGCTGCAACTCTGTAACAGTGCGAACTGTTGGCTCGTATCAGAGCTCAAAGCACCGAAAGTCCCGTGGCTCCCGGAGGTGGGTCGCTACAACGCTTTGCTTTGGCCCCAGCCGGTTGATGGGAGTGCAGATAGTACACGGTTGTTCTCAAAAACTGCAAGTTTTGCAGTATCTGTTTCTCGTGTCATTCTGCAATGGCAGTCCGCCCCAGCAGCATAGCCTCTTAGCAAAACCCAGCCCCTCTGGCACAGCCCCGCCCAAGCCCCTCTATGAACTATGAACCCCTGCCTGCAGAAGCAACGATACGCAGTTTCGGGTATCCAGAGGAGTTTGCCACAGCGGCCCGAGCCCGGGAGCTGCTAGGTAAGGGCCAAACCAGGCCCGTGCCGGGTGACAGACTCTTCTCGTAGGCCCCAATTTGCGCCTCAACTCACGACACCGGGAAGTTCAGAGGTGCTCCCCTAATCATATTGCAGCCACCTCGCTCCGAAATCCGACCTCGAAGTGTTACAGTCTGAAAAGGCTCCGACGCTTCAGCAAACAGGCGCTGCAGCTCTCTCGGCTGCCGGGGGCTCTGATGCGACACACATTGCTCTGTCTCAATACTTCTGGCAGCTGTGCCGAGGCCTAAAAATGCAGGTTCTCTAGACTCTAGCCTCTGAATTCTGGAACATGTGGAAAATGCTCAGATTGCTCGAGGCTGCGTGAGCCGCAGCGGAAGGTGCAAGAGGAGGCCTTTGGGAGAAGCCCAGATTGCTGGTTAACTTCGTTGAAACCGCCACTAGCACTTTTGAAACATGTCATACCTCGCACCCGAAAGGCTTGACTTTGTAATGTTTTCGTCATTGCCAAATAGTGGGAGTAACGCATCTACCTTTACACACAGACTCTGTACGTGCGTGCTCTCTCCTGAGGGTGTGCGCATGCCTCTGCCGTTCAGTATCAAAGCGAGGGGACTCGGAGGTGTTGACAACCTTTTGGTCAGAAGCCCAAAGGCCGGGCCTAAACCTCAGAGCCCCGTCCTCAGGGAGATGCGCCCTCAGTCGCCTCCAGCCCGGAAGCCCAGAGTTTCTGGATCTGCCCGCCTTTGCCTGTCCGAGCCTTCAGCGACTCCGAGTTTCCGGACATGGGGTTTTCAGGTGCTTCAGGAGGTGTTTTGGCCTGAGGGGTCTTTCATCTCAAGTTGCGGGGCCGGGGGCGGCCGAAGCAAAACTGAGGATTGTGGGTTGAATCGGATCTTTTATGAAGTTAATCATGTACACGGACTAGAGAGTGTAGGTTTCAAAACTTCTTGTGTTTGGAGATGAATTTTGAAGGTTTCGAGGTGTAGTTGGTTGTCGAACAAGCTTTGTGTCAAGCTTCTTTCAAGCCCGTAAACGCACCGTAAGCGCCGAACCAAACCCCTCGTCAGCAAATGAGGGAACCATGAAGAAGTCTTGAGATCATCAGCAGGTTGGCTTGGGGCTCTAAACTAGGATTCGGTTGTGCTGTTCTTGAAAGTTCAGGGACTGTAAGGATTACACTAATTGCATTACGATAATCTCTCTCGTCAGGCTCTTGCACTATTGATTTCACGTGCATTGAATGCAGCGATTGCCACAGGTGACGACCCTGTACTTGCTCCTGCAGAGGAGCCTGCTGGGTGATGTTGAGCCCTTTTAGGCCAGAGCTGACTTGAAGGCTGTTGGTTGCATCCTCTGCGGGTCCTTGGAAGTGTTGGTGCCCAGGGCCGGGACTTGCGTCTGCCGGGGAGGGGGAGACTCGTCTTGGCATCCGAAGAATCCGAAGAAGCGGCTGGAACCGTGTCTGACGTCGCCTTTGGGCAGGGAAACCGAAGTCTCCTTTTGTTCCGACCAAGCTGTGTTCCCCATCTAGAGTGGAGGACCGGGAGGGTCCCAGCGTCAGCGCCTCCGAGGCGGAGGTGTCCACAGCTCAGGGCCAAACTCCCATTGCGACTTGTCACTTTTTTCTCCTTTGGTTGTTTTCTCCTTTGATTCAGGGTCTCTCGGAGTCTTAGGAGATTGCTCGTCAGTCTTCGTCCCGGGTCGTAGGCGTGGTCGCGAGCGCAGAGCCATCCAGGGCTGGTCTGCATCGCCAAAAGGCGTAGGGTTAATGGAGACTAGAGCTCAGCAATGATCTTGAAGCTCTTCACGTCCTGCATCGGAGACTTCCTGGCTGCGGTTCCTAAGGTCCTCGCTTCAGTCCGAGCCCACAGGCGACGGTGAGGAGGAAGACAGGCACTTGTGCGTCAGCGACGCGGGGTCATGCGTGCTTTGCCTAGGAGATGCTGTGCTTGATTCTACGCCGTCTGTTCGGAACCCCCGGCCCCAGACTCTCAGACTGAGCGGAAAGCTGCTGCAGGTTTGCAGCCGGTCTCTTGGGGCAGCGGGCTTGGAAGGGGAGTATAGGATGCCTCTGGAGGTGACGTGGGATTCAGGATTCGGGCTTCAAGAGAAGTGGCTGCTGGGACTTGGCATGACTATTGAAAGCTAAAGGGGGCAGCATTGGACAAGACA